TGTATGTATGTGGTTATATTTTTTGTTGACAACATTTGTTGTTTGCAACTAGAAACTACATACATTCGTATCTGCATACTTTGCAGTGTTTTCTGTTTTCTAGCTCACCATGGCGTATACGTAAACTGACACCAATGGACGCTGGTAATATAAATTAATCATACGCCCTGGTGCACTGTAAACGGTAGTTGCATGATAAATTGTCGTATTTACATATAAAGAGAATGCACAGATACACATGGGTATGTATTTATTGGTTATTAATTAGATAAGTTATTCAATTAAAAACACAAATAACTAAATATGTGCAGTACAAATACGCACAGCTATAATGAACTACTAAGGGCCGTTTTCTCAAGTAACCTGTAACTTTGCAGCTCACTTTTTTTTAAAGGTTGCATTAAAATTTATGATGGTGTTTAAAGTAAAGCATTTTATTAACCGTTTTAAATTGGTTTACAACCAAGAAACATACATACGTCATAAACCGATAATAGAAATGCTTAACTTTAGACATAGCTTTTTTTAGTCCAACCTTTAAATATAAAGTGGGCTTTAAACTTAAAGGTTACTTCAGAAAACGGCCCTAAGTGTTACTTACGCATTAGTGTACATATGTACATATATGCGTGTATGTAGATAAGTTCTCAGAAGCATTTCGTTTAATTAGTGATATAATGAATTAGTTTGGAGCATTGTGACCAAGAGACTTTGCCTATTAGATTGGAATGATTTGACTTTGAAGATGTTTTCAATTCATTTCACATAAATATGTATGTATATACTTAACTTCGTTGCATATTACTAGAGGCCAGCATTGGCAGCAAATCAGTATTCCAAAAATTATTTTTTACATATTTACATATGTTCGGAGCTCTAAGTATTATAATTAGTATATGCTACGAAAGAAAACACAGAAATATCAATGCTTGCTCCATAAATATTTGTATTTTAAATTCTAGGAAAATCAAAACAAATTTGTTTGGCCAAGTGGTAGCACGGAAAACGACGAAAATGGTCTGTGCTAAGGCATACTTATTTTATGACAATTGTGTTTCTCAACCAACAAATAACAGTTTTTTCTCGAAATTTCACTCATTCTTTCAAATTGATTTATTGATATTTTAGTATCATCAAGCGCAGATATTAAAAATGTAATAAAAATGTCATAATTGATTTAGTCATATATTTTAAGTAATCGATTATTTAACGTTTGTTTTTCATTTGTTTATTTATAAATTTATTTATTTACTTACTTTTTTAATTGCTTATTTTTTCCAATATGGTTATTGAGCTTTGTACCGCAATTTTGTTTTTAGGAAAAATGAAAAAAGAAAAAAAAAACAAGCAAATACAACAGCAATTTCAAGGAACAAGCAACAGTGTTGCAATTTGTTCGGCACATTTAAATAAACTTGATGATCTGAAACCCAACGAAAGCTAAATGGCATTTAAATTACAATCGAAAACTAAACTTAAGTGCCGTTTAAATATTCATCAGAAATTGGCCTTTAGTCTGGTTGAAAGCGAGATTTCAAGTCACTATATAATAGTCACATTATGTGCAATTTATTAATTTATTTTTACGCTTCCAAGGCAATAATGCATCGCTTACTAATCATCAATTATATAAATAGGCAATCATGTTTCCTTTACACCCCTTTTACGGCTAAACT